GGCTGTTTAGTGTTTAACTCTCGCCGGCGCTTTCCTCAGGCGGTGTCTGAGGTGAGACCCCCGAGGGTCAGTGGTCTCATGGCCGTGTCAGGCAGAGCTGGGGACCTGCCCGCGCGGTGGGTGCCTGTACCACAGGAGATGCAAAGAACCAGCGCGAATGAAGTCAGGAAAAAACCTTCCATCGTCGTCTTCTGGTTTCCAACAGACAAATGTTCTGTTTGTGCGTTGTCCCCATCGTGCAGCGCTGCTGGCATCGCGGGGCTCTCCCTGGGTGCAGAGGAGAAGATTCTTGTTCAAACCAGGCCTCCAGCATGATTTAAGGCTGGTTTTTGGTTTTCTTCAGGGCAGTGAAAGAGCCCTGGCACTCCAAGTAGGCAATGGAGGAAGAACAATGGTGGGACTGCTTTATGAACCACACTAGTTTTTTCTGTGATCAGTTTAAACTAGTCTGAGCTGTTCTATTACAGAACATATCGATCCCCAGACGTTATCCTCCTGGGCCAGCACTAACGGTCACGTTGCCGCCCAGCAAACCTGGAAAAAAGGGTGAAGGATGTCAGCTGAGTCAGTGCCCCACCTGCTTTGCGGCACAGAAATTTGTGGCTGTGCGGTAGAGAGGTGGTGCAACAGGGAACCAACCGCACGCCTGAGAAGGGGCAAGACTTGTGTTCCATAAGAGTATTAGTAAATGTTAGTTCAGGTATTGTGAAGTTGCCTTTAGCTGTGACTCTCGACTGCAGGATTACTGCAGAATTACCACAGGGAAGTAGCTGTGTTTTCCTTATTGCTGCGCAGCAGGATTGCAAAGCAGTCCTTAAGGTTTCCTCTTGTGGGGGGATATCTTTACATTTTAAGAACTGAATTCCAACATATGTTTAGAGTGAAGAACAGAGATAGAAGGAGGAAAAAGATAAAATTCTCAAGTGTTTTGAGTATATGCATCTATTTAAACTTTCTTTAAACTGGGTTATAAACAACATCTTCAAAGTCACAGGGGAAGTTCACAGGAATAATATTCAGGTCTCCCAGTTGATGCTCCTTCAACTTACCCACAATATTTTTATGTTTAGAAATGTTAATCTCATGGAAAACAGGGTAAGCAGTCACAGTACTTTTCCAACAGTTGTTTTTTCTTTTTTCTTTGTCTTCCTCCTCAGAGCCTTCTGTCACAAACACTCTCCCCCACACGTCAAGGTTTCAGCAGAGTCCTGGTGAGACAACACTTAATTCGGGATCCAGTCAGGCTTTGGAATCTCTTAGGTGAGTCTTGAAGAGCAACTGTCCAGGTGGAGGAGGGGAAAAGGTTTTATTTAGTAAAATGAGTATTGATTTTTCCTTCCCTTCGCTGCCTGTGTTCCTGAAACTGAAATGAAGCTGTTCTGTCCTTGGCTTCGGGAGCTGTGTGCCATTTGCAGGGGTTCTAGGTTTTTGTGTGGTGACAGGGATGAACAATGGCACCTTTCCACAAGGAGCTCAGGGTGATTAAGCACTTGAGTCATTAGAGCTAAAAGCTAGTTTAAAAACTGCAGACTTTAAAGTAGAGAATCTTTGTGTGCCTAGTAAGAAGAAAATGTCATTCACTTCTGGCAGAAGTCACAGCATATGACCTTCCTGAAAGCCTTGCACTGGAACAAGCTAAACGTGTATGTTATAAAATGTTACCGGAATCCTTAGAGCAAAAGTACAGAAAGGTAAAACGAAGGCAATTATTCTTCTTGCTGCCCTCTTCACATCAGAAGGACACATTTGTGGATGCCTTTGATATTTAAACAAAACTGGTTGTGGCTGTTCTGGCCAGCATGGGCCTGGTGAGCTTGGGCTGCTTTACCTTTGACAGGTGTTTTTTTTAAGTTAAAATAAAAATAAATGCATAATCTTTCATCGTCTAGTAGAACTAGCAGGGAACAAGCAGTCCTGTGTCTGGGCTTGCTCCTTTCCAGAGCCTTTGTGAAAGACCACAGGGAGTGGACGCTCCTGTCCTCAAGTCCATTGTCTTGCTTCTGAATTTTTTGCATTTTCCTGGTGAAAAAGCCTTTGCTTATTGTTTTGTAGCAGCAACTGTGAGTCTTACTGTTTGTAGCCTTACTTTCTTGGCTTTTATTAGTGTATCCTACCAGCATTTACTGTGAAACCTGCATTTAGCTCCAGCATGTGCGCTTCCTTTCGTACCCATTTACAGTTCCCAGTACGAGGTGGTTCTTAGCTGACCATCCAGGTGTTAACCGTGGTTTCATGCCTTGGGAAATGGGTATGTGTTTCAGCACTGAAGAAATTTCTTCAAACTATTTTATTTGCCACATTAAAATGATCTCTGAACAAAGCCGTATTTTGATTGGATTGCCAAAATGTATATATTATATAAGGAAACCGAAGGAGTCTGTCCCTCCCATTACTCCCTCTGGCGAGGCTGTCTCCCATTTCCTTGGCACACGAACGACACTGTGTGGTTGGGTGGACGTGGAACTTTTGGTTTGCTTTGTGTTTGGAGCTCAGGTATATTTCTGCTGTCCTCGGTCCCCGTTTCTTGCTGTCTCCTGGTAGTAACGACTTCATTCTGCTTGCCTGCAGGTAGCACTCACTGTTTTACTACTTCAAGCTCTCAAAGGAGTAACCAGAAGAATGGAGGATTCAAAAAGAAATCTCCCCAGGAGGATGACGGTATGTGTGTGCTGTAGTGGTGTTTAATGAAACAAACTCTGTGTGTGTGAGTGAGGGGTGGACAGTGTGGAATGTCCAGCATAACGCCTCTGTCTCTGGGTGCTGTAAACCTGCACTGGGAACTTATCACCTCTACGAGCCTGTGGCTGAGAACGAGTTTGAAGGGGTAGTTGGGCTTAGGGGGTGGAATACTAAGGCTTAAGACGTATCATGAACCTGATTGTCTTTGTGTTCTGCTTTGCATCCTTTGTAAAAAGCTTCATTGATGTTTGCCTTAGTTTTGTCGCTTCACAAAGGGCAACAGTAGTATTTACTGAGTTTTGCTTTGGAGTTTTTGTTCTAGAGCATTTTACTTAATAAACTTGTATTAACTAAATTCAGTTCTTCAAGCTGAATTCTGTGGTTTTTCTTACATTTCATTTACCTTCATTGTGGATGTGACTCTACTTCTAGTGATTTACAGAGCTCAGAGTTAAAAACAGGTTCCTCAAAGAGTTCCTAGCTGTGTTACTAATGGCATTCAGAATTTTTTTTTTTTTAAATCAGTCTTACTAGCTGCTGTTTTCTGCATGTCTTATACTGCCTATAGCCCCAAGCATCCTGCAGTACAGGACTTTTTGAAAATGAGTTTTATCTCGCTAAGTGTGTTCTGGAACATAGGGATCTACATGATGTGCCGGGTCATGTTGAGAAGCTGAAGAGTGCCCTCTCTGTACCTAAGCTTAAGGGGATGACACTAATGGGGGGGATACAGGGGAGGAACTTTTGTGTACTGGACAAAAACTTTGCAGACCTGATGACAGGCTGATCCTCACAGGAGGCACTGTTATCTTCTACCAGTAGGTTTTCACCAAACATTTTTTGAATACGAGTGTATTTGTGGGTGTCCCTTCACGTCTCGGTATTGTTGTCAACTTTCTGCTATTTGTAGACTGACAACAGCTGCATTCCATTTCAAAATGTAATTTGACTCTTCCACTTCTGTAAGAAAATGCTCTGCTTGTTCGTGAGTACATGCCTCCCCAGAGCTGAAGTGCGTGCAGACATTTGCTAGGCTCTGGATGAGGCGTGTTTTCAGACTGGGGGGTAGGTTGTTGGCTGTGCAGTCCCATGGCTGGTGGCATGTCCAGTGTCTACGGGCCTGGCTGTAGCCGTGCGACAGTTTAAGAAAGATGTCAGAAGTGGCCCAGGTGACGGTCTCATTCCTCTGTCTTGTCAGTAATGCAGAAGCCTATCGCAAAGATCTGATAATTTTCTTCATTTTATGGCGTTAGTTGATGCTGGCAGAGGTGGGTGCTGTCTTAAGAGCGTTTTTGTGGCCATCTGTTGTGCTGCTTGTTTCCTGGACCCTTGGGTGAGGCGGGAGGAACCTTCTGTAGATGGCGGGCTCTGGACCTTTGTACTGTGAGTCGGAGGGCACTTGGCATCATATTTAAGTCGCAGCTTGTAATATCATTTTATAGATCATTTGATAAACTTTCACCTGGGTGTCATCAGGTAAGGCAGTAGCTTGGCTTTTCCTTTGTTGTGCATGAACACAACGGTTGAATCCTCTTGGACTAATCAGCTTTTGAAGTAAACGCAGTCAGCTGCTGCTGACTTTTAGCCTGACTCGTTGCACGCAATCGCTTTAAGGCAAGAGCAGCGCCTCTGCCTGTTTGATCCGTTGAACTGGGCTGAAGCCTTCGGGACACGAGTGCGGGTATTGCAGAGACCTGAAGGAAGTTGGAGCTTGGAGGTTGAGTCTTTAGTGTTTGCGAGGCCACACAGAGTGGCTGTGAGCACAGCGCCTTGAAGAAGCATTGTGGCTGTTCAAATCAGTAAACAGTGACGTGCCGTGCTCGGTGGCCGCTTTTCTCCTGTGATTAATGGATGGCGTGACTTTGGGAGGTGGAGTGCTACCCCATGTCTCCAGGGGAATACTCGTCTCTGCAGTAATTATTAAAAAGATCTCTTCAAACTGTCACTGCAGCCCTTGCAAGATTTTAATCAGAGAGTTCAGAGGAGGGGTTAATGGCAAATCATTGCTACATGGAGGCTTTTGGAGACTAAAAAGCTGGAAGTATTCCCACAGCTGTTGCTTGCAAGTGTCACATCCAGTTACTGGTTCTCATTTACTGAATATTGTGGGGTAGCTTATGGCGCAGTATGAATGTTGCACTGTAAAAATAGTCATACTTCACATCAGCTTGGAAATAGATTGATTTTGTCCTTAATTAAATGCAGAGAAGAGGAAAGCTTTGTGTTGTCTTCTAGCTTTCTAGAAATGCTGTATTTTCCTGAAGTTATTCAGCTGTAGGTTAAAGGTCCTAGACGAGCCTAATTCCTAGAAACTGGAGAAGCTGTTTGTGTCAAGGTATCTAATGGGCGGCTTTTCCCCTCTGTGATCTTTTTGTGATAGTATCCTCAGCTATGTGTGCTTGGGAACATGTTATGTGCCCCCTCGCTTTGTCTGAAATTTAATACAGAACGGTGCTGTAGCAGTAGTTGACTCTCACATCTCCAAGGAACTTACGTAGCGATAGATGGAGTTTCTTTCTGTCAGTAATCACCTTCCTAGAGTTGTTTCTTTTCTCTACAGAATTTATTTTATTGAGAGCTTGCTCAGCTTTTCAGGATATTGCCCAGACTAAGGCCTCTATCGTACAGTATTTTAATTTTCTTTAGTAAGACCGTAGTGGATATCATCCCGCATCTTTGTGATTAATTGCTTTGTTCTAATAAAGGTGGATCTAGCAGATAGCGCTGAAGTGGGGAGATGGTGTTGAGAAACACAGGGGATGGGCTGGACGCAGTGTCTGAGCTTGTCATTGTCGTTTGAAATTATGACCTTATCTGAAAAGCTGCATTGTTTCTATTTAGGAACAAGCCTTTCCTGTTCAATGTGGAGCAGAGCTAGGAAACGAGTGAAAAACGATGCTGCGTAGCTGAAGGACAGTTACTTTTTTTAGCATCTGACTGGGTCAGATGTTTGTCCCTTGGTTTTGCTGCAGTGTGTAGGGTCTAACTGGTGGCTAGTGATAAATGCTGGTGTCAGAACGTTTGTTAGGAATTTGCAAATAAATCTAATCTGGGCTGCAGCAGACAGATGCACTAGCAGTCCGGTGGCGCAGAATTAATTTATTTCTGGGTGTAGAATAGTATTTATGTATGTCATATTGCTGTTGATGTTAAATTGTATATCAAGAACAAGTGCTAAATTATATATGGAGAACATCCACATGTGGCTGGAAGGAGGAGGAGATATTTGTTGTCGTATTAACAACTCCAGCACTGGCTAGCAGCTGACATTGAACTGTGCTGTGGCAGCCCTTTGCAGACCACGGAATTTTAAATTTGCCTATGCAGTGCAAAAAATGTAGAGAGTCTGAAAAAAAGGTTCGGTGGCAGTCTGGTGGCTTTATTTGGCCTGTATCCATATTAGGCCAGGCAAGGGATACGCTCTCTCATTTTAGAACAGAATGACATTTGGTGGGATTGTAGCGGGTCTGGTGGACTGTGACCATTTGAAGTCTCCTGGACCAGGATTAGACTGTGTTCAAATAGGGAATGCTGATCAGAGCTCTTCAAAGTACGTCTGAGGTTGCTCTCTGCCTTCGTACACTGTCAATAACTTCTTGAAGTGAGGGCCTTGCTTTGGCTCGCTGATGCTTCAGTTCCTCCTCTTGCTGAAGCAAGAATGAAAGAGGAAGATGTGACCCTCCCTCTTCTTCCCTGTGTGCACAGTGCCTCACCGAGTGGCTTTGGGGGCACTGGGGAACAGCTGAATAGAGCGGCAGCAATGGGATGCAAGCAGGTTTTTTGCAGGATGCAAAATTTTCCTCCTTCCAGGCAACTGTTAAGTTTACATCTGAGTGCTTGCGCTTTCGTAACCTGGCTTCTGACCTGGTGCTGTTTCCTGTGTACAGCCGAGGCCCCGTGGTCTGGCAGCCTAGAAGCCAGAAGGGTCTGGGAATGTCATGCTATCCCAAAAACTGACTCACTTGCGTGACCTTGGGCAAGTCACCCAACCTCCTTTGTGAGCCAAGACAGAAAATCGTCTGTGCAGGGCAAGATAGGTACTGCTGCTGAGTCTGGTCCTTCAGGAAAAACCAAATAGGCAGCAAAAAAAACCCCAAAAGGTACTGCTGTGTTAATCTCTGTCATCTAATTTCCCTTCTTTGGGTAAGGAAGCTCCGCAATTGCATGCTCATATCTTTCTTTTCTGATATCTTTTTTTTTCTAAAGAGGATGAGAAACGCAGGAAAAGGGAAAATCAGATGCATCTGGAACGCTTACGGGCACTTCTCATCATAACTTTCATAGTGCTGATGTTTCGATTCATGGTCGGCGAGAACAGAGAAGGGACCAACATTTCCTGGAACTACTTTCTGAATGAGATGCTGGCAAAGGGGGAGGTCCAGAGAATCGAAGTGGTGCCAGAGAGCGATATTGTGGAAATCTATCTGCACCCAGGAGGAACTCCACATGGACAAGTTGTGAGTGGCTTTCTACAATTAGAATGAATGATCTTAGATTATACTGTTGAAAAGAATTGAATTAATTAATTAATGTTCAGTAAAACTCTAGCTGGTAAATTTGCTCTTCATTCATTTTTCTCTTTCTTGTATTTGAAGTTCAGGGGACTTCTGTTATTCATACCATTGCTGCAGCTGTATCCTGTGATACTTACCTGCTGCTTTTGATTGCATGTCCGCAGAATGTTACCCTGTTGTACACGATGCGGGTGGCGAACATCGACAAATTTGAAGAGAAGCTGAGAGCTGCGGAGGATGAGCTGAATATTGATGAGAAAGAGAGAATCCCTGTTTCCTACAAACATCCTGGCTTCTATGGAAAGTATGAGATAAATTTGTGCTTCCTGTTGATCTTATATTGGTGACAACATTTCTGGCTTGGAGAGGAAAGTCCCTATCAACTAAACGTTGTTGTTATAAATACAGAACAAAAAGGTGGTCCCAGTTTTGGAGCACTTACCTCATCATCTTTCAGAAATAGGCATGCTCTAGCTGTACCTTAATGTTTCAAGAGTGAGGGTCCCAAGGAGGTGTCTGGAACCGCAGCATGCGGCAGACCAGAATGTTTTGGATGAGTGTCAGCAAGTCAGAGGAAATTCTGGGTCAGTTGCTCTGTGTTCTTGCATAGCTGAGCACTTTTTGTCCTTATAATTAATTATTCAAGTGCGGAGCGTGATAGAAATCCTGACTCAACAAGTGATGTTACGCCCTGGTCCGTGGAGAATGCTGGCAGTGCAGGAAGCCTTCCCCCATAAAATGCTTCAAGGAAGGCCTGCGGTGGTTGTTCAGTCTGTAAAAATAAACACCTAGTTTTGGCCTGCTTCTCTGCCAGCTGGAGATCAGAGGACAGCCGGCGCTGGTGCTCACTCCAGCTGCGAGCCACATACTGAGCAGAGCAGCTTTGATGCTAGGATACAAAATCTCAGTGAGAGGAGTGCTTCTATTAAACTTACATCCCTTTTCTGTGCTCTGAAACCGAGATCCTTTGCTTAAAAAAAAATGCTCAAAGCTTTTAGTTCTGAAATAGGCACTAATGAGCAGAAGAGAGAACATCTGTCAAAAGACTCAAGAGCACTGGCTAGGCTTTATTCTGTGCTTTTGTATGATGTACTGACGTATGGTGGTCATTTGCTGCTGATGTGGCTTATCTGCCCTTCTGTTAAGACCTGCACAGGATTTATGGGCCCCAGAGTACAGAACAGAGCTGTGCAGCTCGCTCGCTGGGCTATCGAACGAGTCCACCTCCATCGCTGATGGCCCTTATGCTAGTGTAGAAAGATGCTTTCCACAAGCATGGGCAGAGACTCCAGCCTTCAGAGGAGCCTTTGCTTATTCTAAAATACTAACAGAGAGATGTGGTGCAGAAGTCCTGTCTGCTGAGTAAAGAAATCTCGATTCCTGACAACAGAGAGCATCATGCCACTGCAGCTGTCTGTCCAGATGGCCCGGTCACCTCCTTGTGCACCGTGCAGAGCCCATCGGCTGCTTTTAGTAGCTCACAGGGTTTGGAGCACAGTGGCTTTCCTACTGTGTGTGATTCTTCCTCCCAGACACCTTACGAAGTGTGAAACAAATGCCATGTTCACATAGGAATGGATACCTGCACTGGATTTTGTCTAGTTATTTGTCCTCTGAACAACATTTGCACATTTTTTAATACGTGGTTTCTATGGTGATAAATTTTTTTTAATTGATCATGCAGCATGAAACCTTTAGCTGAAATTCAGAACTTGCCAATTTTTTCAAACTTGTGTATAACAGGAGGTATAGACTGAACAGTTAGTCAGCCGCCAACACCAGCTGCTTCCCCTGCCCCTGAAAAGAGATTAATTCTGTGGAGGAGATACTATCGGGTCTGAAGTCTCTCAGGAGACTTGATGAATGTCTGGAGAACTCAGAGTCTCAGTCTGGAGTTTGAACCTGTGAGGTGCAGAGCACTTTTGGCTTAGCTTCTGTGTGCTCTGAGATGCGGGCACTTGATGTGCTTCAGAATTCATCCTGTTTGCATAGTTGACAAACTGAAGGTGACTTTCAGTTTCCAGTGTTGCCTAGGGTCTCTCACCAGAGAGAAACGAGTGCAGCTGGGTATATAGCACGTGCGGGTCACCTTGCTTCAGGAAATCACCCCTCTGTGAGAGATGGAGCACACATTCCCAGTTTACAGATAAGACACAGAAGTGTAGCGAGACCAGATGATTTCACAGGCATGTGAAGAACAACAGGGTCCCACAAATCTCCACCTGTCATCTGACGTACCGTCATTTTTCCTCCTGTTGAAAGCGTCCTTTGTTCAGAGCTCACGGGATATTTGTCCTCAGCCTGTTTGTCCTGTAACTATTGGACTTGCAGTGCCATCTCTGCTCCTCATCTCCCTCCTGATGCAATTGGTGTTGCAAAGGATCCAGAAGGTTCATGATGTTGGTTGCTGTAGCTCTTCCTTCTGTCATAAGGGAATTCTGAGATGTGACCAGGGAGGGCCAACCAGACTAGGTAGAGCAGCCTCTTAACGGGAGACCCACACTGGGATTTCTGCCAGGATTAGGGCAGGTGGAATCTCCCTAGTGTTGCAGGACACGGCTCCTCTGCAGCGAGCTCCCTTTGGGTGGACTGCCAGCCCTGCTGGTTTCTGCTCTGGCTGGGATCTGACTGCCTGAAGGTCCCATTTGTTTTATATGTAGAAATGCCTCTGAAGGGGATGGCGAGGTTGAATTTCTTCCACAGCTGTAAGCAGTATTTGCCAGTGTCCTCTGTTTAACTTTTCAGATTATGTAATTATGGGGGGGGTTGTTTTTATACATGTATGAAATCCTGCAAAGGTTCCATTTTCTTAGTCATGTCTGCACATTGCTGCACTTACAGCCTAAACGTCAGGACCTTTAAATACAGAAAACAGCTACGTTGAATAATATTTACCAAGTTGTGGCTGAACACTTCAATTTGTACCTGTGTTGCTTTTGTCCTTGTAGTGATGTAATTTCCCTGTTTGTGACACTTGTGGCTGTGACCATGTTGTGGAGCATCTTCCGCCTTATCAGGGTTGCAAGCCGGGTAGGAGGATTCAACGCCTTTGTAAGTATCCTGGATCTTGATGATGTTTTGAAGCCTGTGCATTGTCTTGTCTTCTGCTGCCCTGATCTCCTCCTTTTTCCCCAGCAAAGTCAATGCAGAATGAGAATTACCTGGTGCCATGGGCCTCCAGTCTTGACACATCTTGCATCCTCTCCTGTCCTGATGGTCTGACAGGATTGTGCAGTAACTGGCCTTAGCGGAGGCCCTTTCTTCCCCCGATGGCAGGAAAGGCTGAGCTCAGTGAATTTGCAGTCCGGTTTGCTCTGCTATTTCCAAAGCTTGCTAATGAGTTGCAGCTGCAGATGGTGTTTTTCACTGGATCCTGCCAATATGCCTCCCATACAGCCAGAAGTAGAAATTGCTGCTTTCTGCAAAATGAGTTCTCAATTTATAAAATATGTTCGGATTCTGAATTTCATTATGTGTTGGCCTGTTCCGCTCATGCCACATGCTTCACTTGCAACATCAGTCAAATCTCCTCCTCCCCCCCAGCCTGGATCAGCTGATGGAACTCTGCAGAGCTCAGCCTGGGGTGCGCTGCCATTGACTGCAGGGCTCTGGGGATGAAAATAGGGTGAATTCAGTCCCTTGTTAGATCTCCCCCTCGGTCTCCTCTGCAGTTCTCTTCTGGCTTTGGGGTTCTCTTTACACAAAGGGATGCAGCTGCTCAGAGAAGAATATTTTTTAAAAGTGTTGAGTAATCAGGGCCTTGAGGACTAGATGCTGTCCTTGCACAAGTGGGGACAGCTAGGCCCTGCGTGTTTAACTCTTCACTTGGACGAGCTGATGTTCCTGAGGCCTGGGAAGCTATGAACTTTCTTCTCAAGGAAAAAAAAAAAGATCCCTAGTAGCTGTTTTCAGTAGAACATAATGAGCAGTTACAAGTAGGGCATTTCAGTACATTCTTGTTTTGACTGTGGCTTAACACACACCAGGAGACTGAGATGTGGTGTCTGTTAAATTTGAGAACATATAGTTCTGTCTTGGGTTGTGCTGCAGTAGAAACCAGCGGCAGCATTGGACAATGGTGCAAAGTGTTTATATGCATTTACAAGGCAGTATTGTAATTATTTATCACAGGCGATTATTTACCATCAATACCTATTCCTCAAAGCTATTCCTATCCCATGTGTATTAAAGATCAGAGTGTTTAGGAATCAGAGAGAAGATCCCAAAGAAGGTTTGGGGCATTCTGCACGTTTTTAATAATTATCCCTGCCTGGCCTCCATGGAGGTTGAGCTGGATTGTGTTGAGACTATACTGCAGGTTTGTTCGCTCTCTTCCCAACAACATGTGGATAAATAAAGTTTGAGTCAACAATCCAGCTGTGAAGTGTTTCCAAAGCAAAAGTTAGTAAAACACCAGTGCATCGGTGGGCATTTTAGTGTTGGTTGGTAGGGGCAGGTTCTGCCTGTGCTGTGCTGTCTCCCAGAGTGTAGCAGACAGCCTTTCCAGACTCTTGCCTTGTCCAAAGTCAGAGCATGTCTTTGGTACTTGTGCTGCCTTCCACAGAACCAGCTGAAAATGGCTCGTTTCACCATCGTGGATGGGAAATCTGGAAAAGGGATCAGCTTCAAGGATGTAGCGGGAATGCATGAGGCGAAAATGGAAGTGAAAGAATTTGTGGACTATTTAAAGGTGTGTAAAAGTAGAAGAAAATAAGTGCTTGCTACCCATCTTCTGGGATAGATGGCTGACCTGTGGAAGGGGATATATTCTTTTCTTCATCCTCCGTGATACTGAGCAGCCTCTGCTTAAATAAGCTGATGGCTTTTGATGCTGTGATCAGCATGACTCAGTCTCTGTATGTCTGGTTCTGTAATGGGAATGCAGATGTAGCTGCTCCCGTTAGCAGCTCAGAGTTGCCCAGGCTGCAAACAGTGTCGGGAAGCTCTGGGAGACCATCTTCTTGTCCAGATGCTTCATGTGAGCTGTGGATGTGACAGAGTTGTGTTGTTCTTGCAGAGTCCTGAACGCTACCTTCAGCTTGGGGCTAAGGTGCCCAAGGGCGCCTTGCTACTGGGACCGCCAGGCTGTGGGAAGACACTGCTGGCGAAGGCAGTGGCTACGGAAGCACAGGTGCCGTTTTTGGCCATGGCGGGCTCTGAGTTTGTGGAGGTGATAGGAGGTAAGGTGGAGGTTACTTGGTGTGTTGTGGAGCTGGAGGGTGCTGGCGGGGCCTCCTGCAAAGGACAGGGTTTTAGTCTGTATGGGGAGGATGGGTTGGATCCTTCCACTGAAGATATAAAAGGATTTCAGTGAGAGAGAGTACTTAATTATGTAGTATCTAAAATGCATAGCCTCTGAATTGCTAGTTGCTTCTTTCTGACGGTGTGTGGCCATGGCTCTTCACCTGAAAGCATTATCTCTGACTTCTCTGTGCCTATTCTTAAAGCTACTGACTGAGGCTTCCTTTCTTGTATGAGAATGCTGATGGATTTTCTGCTGCTCCCTGCTGATGGGGAAAGCATGGCTTCTTTGTGCCTTGAGATTTCCATCTTTCTCCTTTTCTTCCTTCCTCCTAGACCTCTTGAGACCCGACAAGGGTCAATGTGCAGGAAAATGCTGAATATTTCTGCTTCTGGCCTGTGGAAGGAACAGGAGTTCATGTTAGGAGCTGGGAGCAGAGCTCCTCTTACAGCAGCTGTAGGAGTCCCTGCAGTTTTGGAGCTCCGTTAAAAGCCAGCTCACTCCAGGAGCTGTGCCTAAGGACTAAACATAAGAGTTCTGTGGCTATTTCTTTGCATGGGAAGTGTTGAGAGAGGGACTGTCCATATGCTGAGGTATCCGGTATCCAGTGTCTTGCTGGGGGCCACTAATGCTGCTCTCCAGCTTTGCTCACAATTTTACATACCAGGCTTATTTCTTTTTCCCTTCCCCTATAGGTCTTGGAGCTGCCAGAGTTCGGAGCCTCTTCAGAGAAGCCCAGGCTCGTGCACCCTGCATTGTGTACATCGATGAAATCGATGCTGTGGGCAAGAAGCGCTCAACCAATATATCTGGTTTTGCCAACGCTGAGGAGGAGCAGACCTTAAACCAGCTGCTGGTGGAAATGGATGGTCAGTATTTCTCTCTGCCCCTCAGCAGTTGTGCCCTTACCACCTTACAGGTCCAAGCTGTTGGCCTGTCCATCTTTTTCCTGCTTGAGCTTACCATGCGTCTTTAGCATTCTCTTCATTGTCTTCTTGCTGAAGCAATTACCGATCTTGCTCCCCGCTTCCCTGGGACAAGGCTAGCCTGCACTCCACAGCCCATTCAGGACTAAGCCCTGAACAACTTGGTCGTGTCCTTGCTAAAAGACCATCTGTACGACAAGTGATAACTGTGTTTCAGACTGTTTAGGGAAGGGGCTGTGGCCCTGAAAAGGTGTTTTTTTTCCTGTGTGAACACCAGCATGGCCTTGGCTGGCCTTGCTCTGGTTTCAGAGGTCATTGTATTGCTCACTTGAAGTGGGTTGAGTCCATGTACCCCATCGTTAGTCCCTGTTTCTGAAGGCACTGGAGTATATCTGTCTTCATCTCTCCCTGGAGAGTTAGGCAGGACTGCTCCAGAGCTGTTGGTGCCTAAGGAGGTAGTTGGGCTTAGGACAGATCTCTGTGTATGTGCTGTGACTAAGTTGTGGAGATAAACCTCTTGAAATCTAGACATTTATATAGGCTTATTAGCTTTTGGGGCTAAATCCAGTAAATCTTAAAACCCTGGAGCCAACTGGTTTTGTGACTGTACTGAGTCAGAAGAGAGCATCGCATCACACCCAGAGTGAATTTGTACAAACAGCCACGTGAGCATCCACCTGCTAATAAAATCAGCAGAAAATGTGCATTAGAGATCATGGCTGGCAGAGGGCAGCAACCCCAAAGGCTCTTCCTGCAGTAAATGGCTTCAGTTCAGGAGTAGGTCTTCCCACTGGCAGTTGGAGAAGAATTATTTACAGTACCGGGGAACCAAAAGAAAATGAATTGACAGCAAGGGCACTGCTGTCTGTAGAGGGCAACATTTAGGTCCAGCTGGCCATTAAATGTTGTTGGATATTCTGTCTAAGACAGGTAGTGGTTTAAAGCCTGTTGAGGTTTGAAGTTTAGTTGTCCCAGAGGGATATAAGCAATGCAGTATATTAATTCTCCCATCCTTTGATTTATTCTCACGTTGTCAGTTTGCCTACAGGATCGCTGTCTAAAGTGAGCCAGTTAAGCTTCGCAAACAAGCCCTGGGTTGATGGCACATTTCCGGATGGTGCCTCTGGAATCGGCCCTTTTCTCGGATGCTTTCACACAAGTGCCAGGAAGAACGATCCGTTGGCTGTTCTTAGTCACAACTTTCAGAGCCACCTGCAGCACTGACCCACCTTGCAATGTTTCTGTTGCTAAATGTTGTTATTGCAGAGCAGGATGAGGAATAACTGACTCCTTGCCCATCAGGGAGGGTTTGTATCGGTCTGCTCTCTTGTGGGACAGAGCCACCTTTTCCCTTGACTGTAACTGGAAAGTGAGTTTGGAAGGTAAATGTTATCCTCGGTATATACTTTAAGAATCCCTTGTTCACTGTGTGCTGCCTAGGTTATTTTTAAACTTCTATTATCTCATTATTTATTTGTGTCTCATACAGATCATGTACTAAGCCCCTCATTTTGGTAAGTGCTTTATCAAACACACACTAAAAAAAAAAAATCGCCCAAGGAGTTTACAATGTCAAATGGGAGACGGCTGGCAAGGACTGTCAGGCTGGTGTGGGAAACATGGACTTACTGCTGGCTTGTGCTGACAAGCGGCGATCTTGGCACGTGTTACTGAAATGGTATCTGACTGAGCACGTTACCTGAACCGGCACTGAAGTGCCCTGTGCATCACGGCAAAATAGTTCTCAGGATGATAGTGGATAAGGATTTTTAGGAGGTTAACAGTTCTACCCAAGTACAAGAGGAGGAGAGGTGTGTGTTTGGAATGAGGAAGCCTTGAAATGGAAGGTTGGGAGCTCTGACTGTCCTTAGCTTAAATTGATGGTTGAAGTCCTGCAAGGCAACACCATAGAACCGAGTTAGCTGTTAATTTGAAAAAAAAAATCCCACACAAAAGTGGATCTCTGAGTCATCAGTGGTGATTGTTGAATTTCTGTGTTTGGATGAGATTACTCAGAGGTAAGGTGGAGGAAGAAAAGGAGGGTCAGAGCTGTGCGGAACCTGCTCGGCAGGCTGGAGGGAAGATGAGGACACTGAGGGAAAAGCCATTATGCTAAGCTGGATGGGATGAATGTGCAGTTTGATACTCGATCATTCCGGTACGCAGATTTTAGAGTAATTGTAGTGCTCTTCCTACAAGTGACCTTGGTTTCCTTCGCTCTGACAGCTTTCTTCGTGTTCTGGAAGCACCGGGAGTCTGGTGGGAGAAGGGGAGGGCTGGAGGAAGCCTGCATGTGCAAAAGCTGTTTTTCAAACCAGAGTGACACGTGTACTCCAGGCTTTGTCAAAACAGGTGCCTGGTTTGAATAGGGAATCTTCCCTCACAACCCGCAAACAAGCGGAAGAGGAATGCGACCCAAATATCTCCTCTGTTCTGAATGCGTTTGAGAGGAGGTTGGCAGTCCTGGGCTGATCTGCGTTTCGGGAATTAAAATGCCAGACGGCTTTTGGTGGCAGCTCTGCACCTGAAGTCCTCAGACAAGACCTCTCCCCTGGTCTGTGCTGTAGGCACGGTTCTGACCCTGAGGCTTCCCTCCTGAAGGTGGCCCCATTCCAGTGATACTGATCACAGATGATGTCCAAAAGGCTTTTAAGAAATGGCTGGAGGATGACCCGATGTAACGCTGCAGGTGAGGTGCCCATCAGAGCACCCTGCTCTGTGCCAATGGGGAGCAGGGCACTCTCAGTTTTTTCCTTTCTTGTGAAGTGGCTTCATTTGTAAATGTTGTAGATGTGAAGGCTCTCTTTAGGCTGAATTTTCAGAGCTGTTTTTCATTTGCTCATGTGACTGAGGTGTTGTTTTTGTACACTATTCGTTTAGCTGCTCTTTGCCTGCAGAAGCCAAAGCCTGTGACATGCCAGGTGACGTTGCATTGGGAACAGTGACAGGAATCGGAGGCTGCAGTTTTAGATTTCTTGGAGCAGTGTTTTCCTCTGCTGGGATACAGGCTTGAGAGCAAGTGGGGCAGAAGCTGATGTGAGGAGGATGTTCTTGGTGGCTCTGGTTTTTTATATTTGTTCTAATAGCCAGACCTATTTTAAGAGAGTCTTCCCAGCTGCAAAGCAGATAATGTACTGTACCATCTAATCCTGCCGTGTGAATGGAGCTTGCTATCCCCCGAGTGCCTGCCAGTCTCTCTGCTTATTATCACACTCCAAAGTGCACTGTAATACCTGCCTGAAGAACGGCTGGCTTCATCCTCTCCAGGAGCTTATTTAGATGGCATCCTG